GTGGAACCGTGGTGGGAACAGTGGTGGGGACAGTGGGGACAGTGCGACAGTGGTGGTGGCACTGGTGGGGACAGTAGGGGCGGTGGTGGAACCAGTGGGGACAGTGGTGGTGAGGACAGTGGTGCTGGGAACAACAGTGGGGGATGTGGTGAGGACGGTGGTAGGGACCGGGAGTCGTTTGCTGGCGGTGAGAGGGGAGGGTGGGGAGGGGTTCGAACCGGTAGTGACCCCCCCCTCGAAAACCAGAGGGGGGGGGGGGGTCGAACCGGTTGTGACCCAGCCGGTTTTCGAGGGGGAGGGGGGTGGGGTGAGGGGTTCGGGGAGGGGGGGTTTTGCGGGGGAGGGGGGGGGGGGGGTCCAGCCAGCAGGGGGGGGGATTTTCGGAGGGGGGAGGACCCCCGGGGGGGGGGGACTCCCGGGTTCTGGAGGAAAAGGGCGGCAATTTTCCATAGTAAAGCGGCGGTGGATCACGCTCTCTCCATCATCCGCATCCTCATCATCCTCACCATCATCAGCAGCAGCAGCACCATCTCTACCGCCAACACCATCGTCGTCGTCGTAATCATTGCCATCCTCCTCATTCGCACGTTCATAATCATAGTCATACTCGTCAACAGCAGCGACATGCACATCAACATCATCGACAACAACGCCATCACCAGCATCGCCACCACCACCATTATCATGATGATGATCACCATCCGCATCATCATCTTGCTCAGCATCCTTATCGTCATCACCATCAGCACTATCATCCTCATCCTCATCAGCATCCTCAATCTCATCATCCTTACCATCATCATCAGCAACCGCATCATCATTAACAATAACATCATCATTAACAACAACATCAACAACATCAAGATCACCACTATCATCTGAAGCATCAACATCACCATCAACATCGTCAGCACCACCACCAACCACCTGTGGGTACGCCCCTCACACGTTCTGTGGCCCCACAGGGAGCTCCACCGAAGGCCCAATGGAATGACCCGCACGCCACCGCCGCACTCATTTCGGCACACCCATCACACCTTTCGTAGCCCCAAAGGAAAACTCCACTAACGGCCACAATGGAAAGATCCCCATGCTACCGCCGCCCCTGTTTCGGCACGCTCATCACACGTTCCGTAGTCCCACAGGCAACTCCACCGAGGGCCCCAATGGGAGGTTCCGCATGCCACCGCCGCGCTCATTTTGGCGCACCCCTCATTGCCATAAGAACCTGAAGCACCCAACTTCGAGGGTCTGCATGCCACCGCGACGTCCATGTCGGCACACCCCTCACACGTTCCGTGGCCTCATCGGCAGCTCTACCAACGGCCCCAATGAGAGGGTCCGCGTGCCACCGCCAACGCTCCCGTTTCGGCACACTCTCACTCGCTTGGTGGCCCCATGGGGAGTTCCGCCAACAGCCAATCGGGACCTCCACCGAAGGCCCCACGGGATGGGTCCGCACGCCATCGCCAAACTCATTTCGGCACACAACCCTCACTTGCTAGGGAGCACCACCGAAGGCCCCAATTGGAGGGTCCGCATGCCACTGCCGTTCAAATTTCGGTACACAGTTCACTCCTTTCGTGGCCCCGTGGGGAGCTCCACTGAAGGCCTTAGTGGCAGCGCATGCATGACACAGCCGTGCTCATTTCGTCATGCCACTCACACGTTTCGTGGCCCCATAGGGAGCTCCACCGACGGCTCGAGCGGGAGGGTCCGCATGCCATTGCCACGCCCATGTCGCAACGGATTTCGCACGCTTCGTGGCCCCATTGGGAGCGCCACCGAGAGCCCCCCTGTGAGGGTCCGCATGCCACAGCCGTTCCAACTTCAGCACACCCTTTCCCTCACTTGTTCCGTGCCCCCATAGGGAACTCCACCGAAAGCGGTACCAAACATTTCCATATGGTTGGGTCTTTCGCGAAGTTACTTGGCACTCCTCGCTGTGACGCGACGGACAGGGCAAGGCGAGGCTGAGGTTCATCAGCCTGAGGGTCACTTCGTGGATCGTTCCAGTCCAATCCAGTATCCTGCTCCTCCTCCTGCTTCTCCCATTGTCCCTTCTCCATATACGTTTCATCATCCTCTCCTCTTCCCCCTCCACTTCCTCTGCCTGATCCTCGTCCTCCTCCTCGTCCCCTCCCTCCTTCTCCTCTCACTCCCCTCTTATCCTCATACTCCTGATCCATTTTGTGATTTGCCTTCTTCGTCCGTCGACCTCTGACTCATCCTCTTCGTCCTCCTGCTGCCGCCGCTCATCCTTATTCCTCCTGCTGTTCCTACTCCTCCTCCGTGGCCTCGAAAAGGGCCCTCCCTGGCGGCGGCAGCGTCCGAGCTAAACAAATTTGGCCAGACACCAGAAGGACACATCAAGTTCGGAAGTACTTCTGGGGCCATGCAAGGTTGATCGGAAGAGTACGAGAGGAGGGGGCGGATCAAGATGAGGAGGACGACTTGGAGCCTATTGGAGACCGTTGGGGGACCACTTAAATTCAAAGAAAGGCCTCGAGCACCCCAACTAATTGTGCACACGGGTTATGTATGACATAAGTTTGTTACGCGACGCCGTGAAACTATTGATCGGCGGGTCGCAACTCGACAAGAAACCGACGAACCACTGAGGAGGTGAGGTGGAATCTGATCTGTCGTATGCGACGATACGGTAATACATACGATGCTATGCCATGATTTGCTACGCTGTGCTATGATATGGTATGTTATGCTGTTGTTACTGCGCATGAATGTGCTCGGGCGCGCGCTGCAGGGGTAATGCCAACTCTCGCGGCCTCGAAGAGGGCCCCTCGGGCGACGGCAACGCCCATTCGAAACACATAGTTTCAGACAAAAACAAAGGAAATTCTGTTTCTAAATTTGTTTTGGAACAAGCAAGGTTGGCTAATTGAATATGAGGAGGGGGAGGAGGCAAACGAGGAGGAGGATTCGGAGACTCTCGTGGGCCTTTGGGGGGCAATTTAAATTCAAGGGGAGGCCCCGAGCAACTACGCCAACAAGCAATTTATCAAATCCAACAACATGCAACTGTACGCGACGCCGCGGGGCTCTTGATCGGCGGCGGCGCGCGCCGTCGAAACATCGACGAGCCCGTGAGGAGGTGGAAGGTGAGCTGTTGCATGCGATGATACGTTATTGTATAGTTTGGTATGCTATGCTGTTATATGCTATGCCATGCTATGGGATGCTAGCACATGATGTTGTCACTGCGCATGAATGTGCTCGGGCGCGCGCCTCGGGGGTAATTTAATCGCTCGGGGCCTCGAAGGCTTAACCTCGGGAGACGGCGACGCCCGAGCTAGAAAAATTACCCCAAGCATAACCAAATACCAAAGCTTAAACCATACCGATGAGACTGAGTAAGTCCTGTAAAGTCAGTGCGCTGGCCTCTCTGCGGATGGGTCGGCGCGCCTCAGGCTACGTCTATTCTTCCTCCTCTTCCTCCCGCCTCCTCCTCCTCCTCCTCCTCCTCCTCGTCTTCCTCCCTACTCCACTGCGCGTCGGTCGTGAAAGGTAGGTATTTCTGGATTCCCAAATCCCAAGTCCACTCTAGTCGCCTCCCCACTTCCATGATCGAGTGGCTTCCCCGCTTATTTCCTCTTCAGGGGGAGGGCGGAAGGCCACTCTGCTTTCACCGCCTTCCTGCTTCGCGCTTCTGCCCGCTTCCGACCGATGGGCAACTGAAACCTCTTTGGGGAGGGGGCCCTGGAGGCCCCCGGGGCTCCTCCGGCCTCCAGGGTCTCCGAGCTCCCGGGGGGCCTCCAGGGGCTCTCCTTTGGCCCACGGCCCTCTGGCGCCGTGCTCCCTTCAGGCCGGGCCCCAGACATGCACCAAGCACCAGCACCAGCACCAATCGAAAACAGCGCCAACACCGACAATAGCACGTGCACCGACAACAGCACCAGCACTGACAGCACCAGCACCAACACCGACACCGACACCAGCACCGACAACAGCAACCGACGGAGACAACGACGATGGATCTGAGTCTTGGGTTCACTTCATACGGAGAAGTACCTCCACCGCTTTGGCACACGCCAAACGAGCACGAGTCGACGATTGGACCGACGTATACTTCAAGCGAAAATGGGCGCTTGCAGCACGCGTGGCCAACCACGATCACGACAGATGGACGCGACTGAATGCAAGCTGGGACCCATGTACACACGACCTACGCCCAGCCTTTCGCCGACATGGCGGGCAAAAGAAGCTTTGGCATGATGACATTGTACCTTATCCACATGACGTGGTCGACACCGACAACGATTCCAAATGGTGGGTGTTGGCCCAGAACCTACCATGGTGGATCAGTGAAGAAGGCTTCTTGGACTACATGCGTCGCTTCCTCCACTCCGGCAACTACAACGAATGAGCCTTCTGGCGCTCCGGCGCCCCCGCCGGGCTATCATAGGGCCGTCCTTCCGGGACGTTTTCCGGCGCTCTGCTCTGCCCTGATGGTCCGCTACCGAAAATTTCCGGTAGCGCTCCGCAGAGATCGGTCGCTACCGAAATACCGAAATGTAGCGCCCAATACCGGTATCAGAGCGTTCTGAAATCAGCTATTTCAACGCCCTCAAACGAAGATCCGGTCGCTACCGAAATTCGGGGCGCGTCGAAATCGCTACCGAAAATTTCCGGTACCAGACCATCTGGGTGCTGCTCTGCCCAGACATGCGACGTCCCGACGTCTTCAGTGCGGGGTCCCTGGGAGTCCCGACCCGTCCCCCGGGACCAGCCTCTCAAGCCTCTCCTCCCGAGTCGTCTTGTGGACGGTCCCGAGGCCCGGCGAGGGCTCCCCGAGGCCGACCACGGCCCCCAAAACTCCCGTCCTGATTCTTTTTCCCGACGCCCCCATGTCTGGGGCGGCGTCTCTCTTCAACCTCTCGGCCCCTGCAGAGGGCACGCGCCTCGGGCCGCTCTCCTCGAGGAGCGGCCCCGAGGGCCGCCGGCCCCGTGGGCAGCGCGCGCGTGCCCCGGCGGCCCCCGCGAGGTGTCCGCGCTGATCCAGGTCTCCGCCCTGGAGCGGGTGGGGGAGCGCGGCGACGCGGCGCTGGAGGCGGCGGAGGAGCCGGCGCCGTCCCTCTCGGGGGCGGCAAAGAGGGGGGCGATGACTAGGGGTTAAGTCGGGCGTGTCCCTCTACAGGAGGAGTGTTCAAGAGTAGCCAAAAAATAGTGTGGGGACGATTTGTTGATTATTCTTTGGCTAATCCTGAGCATTCTTTGATTATTTTCAGTTTTCGCCCAAAGTCCGCCTGCAGGAGGACATGCCCGACCTAAGACCAGGGGGGATGGATATCATGGCGGGGGCCATGATATCTGCCCAGGTTTCATGAATGACTCCTCTTTTTATTTTAATAGGTCCCCGGTCCCCCCCTGGGCCGCGCACATGCCGCCGGCCATGATTTGCGCCCCCCCCTTTGGACGCCCCCCTCTTGGACGCCCCCGATCCTCCGAGGTGGGGCTTTCTCCATGACCACCGCCTGGGGGAT